ATAATGAGCTATTTATGTGGAGTCCTGTAAAATGCAGTTAAAGTTAGTTATGCTTATGTTTTTATAGGCTTCCATTGGACATGGAAACTACGTTCACATTTCTAGGGAAAAGAGTGTAGAGATAGTTGTGGAAAGGATCCTGTATTTCCACATTGATCCTACTTCTTTTATATGAGACACAGGAGCAATATGATTTCTTGCTGGTCTTGTGACTAACACCGTGTTATTTTATTCTTAGCCTTTAAAATCAATAGTACAAAAAACCCTTCCAGGCTCGAAGGGAAAGGACCAGTTTTGTGAGACTTATTTTATTTTATTGCCTAGGTATTTTGCCCGAAGTGAAAAGAGACTTTGAAAACTATTACATGGTGCTCATCCGGGGGAGTGGGAGCCAAGCACTTGAGTCATGAGTTTCTCCGTGTCCTACCTTAACATTTGAAACTTCTTTGTTATGTCTCAGAGTAAAGCTAATGTAGACTCCCACCACGTAGTGTTGGATGGTGAGGAAGGGATGAAAGGTGATGCAGAACACCAGTTTGCCTTCCATCCACCTGTATCTAGGCTGGTTAAATGCAGGGCGTGCAGGGGTTTCATGGTGAAGTTCTGTCACTCCCACTAACCATAGTAGCAGGTTTTGATCGTCCTTAAAAGATTTCCTTTGAGTTGGTAGTTAATCAATATGGTCAGATGGTAGGACTTTTTTTTTTTTTTCCCCCTTTTCCATTAAACAATGTAAATGCCTGCTAGTAGAGAGATTCTGTTCTCTGGGGATAAGTAGCATCTGCAAATGCCCTATATAAAGAAGACACCATTTTAATGGGTTTTTCTTCCTTGCCTTGCATACTGTGTTTAGAATGGTTCATAACTTGCAGAAAATCCAAATACCAAAGGTGAGCAGAGTATCCCCAGATACTGACTTCTAACCTTCTCTGTGGTAAGGGGCCAAAGTTATGTTTTCAGGTCTCGCTCGTGACTACCTTTTATTTTTCTTTTCAAGAGTTGTTACCTGAATGATGAACAGACTAGCCTCCCCATTGCACTGTTTGTAGCTTTTTTCATTCGTAGAGATAGGCTAGAAATTTTGTATTGGTCCTAAATAATAGCTGTCTGCTTTAACTAATTGCTTTCTGATAAGCACATTTGAATTACTGCAGAAGGAATATAATCTTGAATGATTAATGAAATTTGCTAGTAAGGCACTTTTCTTTTGCAGCCTCCTAATTTTCCCTACAGAGATGATATCATGTCAGTGAATCCTACCTGTTTGGTCCTTATTATTCTTCTGTTTATCAGCATTATCTTGACTCTTAAGGTAAGCATGAAGATTTTACCTATGGTGTAAATATTGTTAAGTGTATTCCTGAATGCCAAAGAAGTAAACAGATTTCGGTCAGTTCATTGTCTTGCTTTAGATACCTGAACTACTTTTTGATTTCCTAACATTGTAGTTCCTTCTGTTATCTATTTTAGAAATGAATACTAATCAGAATTCTGCAGATCAGTCAAGGGTTATTCCAAAAACTACTTGGATGGGAATAAATGAATTGTTCATAATGAATTTCTCTTCTTACACGTTATATAGTATGTATAATATGCTGTGTCATCCCTTAAAATATCTCAGTATACATTCTTTGGTAATTTTTTTCCGTTTTTTTATTGTAGTAAAATATATGTAGCATAAAATTTACCATTTTAACCACTTTTAATGTACAGTTCAGTGGCATTGATTATGTTCACAATGTTGTGGAGCCTTCACCACTGTCTATTTCTAAAATTTTTTATCAGCCCAAACAGAAACTCAGTACCCCTTCAGCAGTAACTCTCCACTCCCCCCTCTCCCCTGGTAACTGCTAATCTACTTTCTGTCTCTATGCATTTGCCTATTCTAGGTATTTCATATAAGTGGAATCATACAATATTTGTCCTTTTATGTCTAGCCTGTTTCACTTAGCATAATGTGTTCAAGGTTCATCCATGTTGTAGCCTGTATCAGAACTTCATTTCTCTTTATGGCTGAATAATATTCCTGTAATTTGTTTTTAAAATGTATTAGCATTCTGTTGTCTGAATAGCTGTCATTCTATTCTGAATATCTTTCTATGTCAATTATTTTTATGGTTGCACAGTGGTCCATCACAGATTTATCATTATTTAGTAAATTACCTATCGTTGGACACTGAGACAATTTCTACTTTTTCATGTATTAGTGCTTCAGTGAGTATACTTAAATACAGGCTTGTACACTTACGTGTTTATTTCCTTAAGGTAAGTTTTTTCAAATCTCTATTCAAGATTACAGAAATTTCGAATAAGAAGTAAGGTCACCGAAATAAATGGTTGGGTTTTTAGAGGCAACAGGCGGAGGCTTTTCTCCTGTTGGAGTGCTTAGTGAGTGAATGCATGTGGTGTGGCAGGGGGTCCTGGAGAACACTGACTGTGGCTCCTTGACGCTCTGGCCACCAGGTCCTTGCCCTTTGTTTGTTGTTTAGTGTTTCAATTATAGATTTGTTGTTTTAGAGGCCATATGTCAAGGAGTTCTTGCATTAAAGTATCCAGTGTCCACTGCTGAAATAATGGGTGAATAATCTTATACAACACATAACTAATATGCCTAAGCATTCGTTTTCCATTTGTATTGAAATTCAAAAAAATCTTGGGCTTTTTTAAAAAATAAAGATGTGATATTGTAATTGAGGTAACCAAAAATTTAAGTAAATTGAAATGTATTTTGTGCATTGTTTAAGAAACATGCCCTCCCTTCTTTCTTTTTCTCATTGACGAGTCATGGTTTCAGATTATTGCCATTGAAGAAACATTTTATAAAACAACATTATACATTTTTATCTTAACATCAAAAACTTAAATGTAAGAAATAATCACCATCAAGTATGAATACAGCTTAAACCAGCATTCTAAGTATAAGAATATTTTACTTTACTCTTCTGAAAAATGTTGACATGTACCTCTTTTGTTCTTAAATGTTGTCTTTTTTAAAAAACAGCTTTGTTGGAAAAAAAAGGTCAAGAACGGAGAGGGTTGACATGTCATGGGGTTGTTAACCAATGTCATAAAAACAGTATGTGTACTGCTGTTTCATGAGAAACTATTTGTTCTGTAAACCTTCACCTGAAATACAATTAAAAAAAAAAAAAAACAGCTTTGTTGAGATATAATTCACATGCCATAAAATCCACTCATTTGAAGTGTACAACTTTTCCCCTTTGAGGGTGTTCATAGGGTTGTGCAGTTACAGCTCTGTGGTTACACAATCTAATTTTAGAGCATTTTCATCACTCCAGAAAGGAACCCATTAGTAGTCACTCCCCATTTACCCCACCCCACCTCTGTCTTCAGCCCTACGAAACCACTCATCTCGTTTCTCTCTACATAGATTTGCCTATTGTGGACACCTCATATAAAAAGAATCATACAATATATGTTCTTTTGTGGCTGACTTATTTCATTTTGCATAATATTTTCAAGGTTCATCCATGTCATAGCACATGTCAGAACTTTATCTCTCCTTATGGCTAAATAATATTCCGTTGTATGGATATACCACATTTGATTTATCCATTCATCAGTTGGTGAACATTTGGGTTGTTTCCACCCTTTGACTTTTATAAATAATGCTGCTATGATTCGTGTACATGTTTTTATGTGTTTTGAATTTCTAGGGTATACGCCTAGGAGTGGGATTGCTGGGTCATATGATAACCCTGTATTTAACTTTTTGAGGAACTGTCAGACTATTTTCCAAAGCGGCTGTACCATTTTACATTCCTACCAGCAGTGTATAAGGGTTCCAGTTTCTCCACATCCTTAAACTTCTTTTAATCGAAGAATTTTAAAGCTGGAAAGAGATTTTTGAAATCATTTCATTCTTATCCAGTTACAAATGATTGGAGTGAAAATGCAAAGAGTTCATAGTTTAAATATTTCCCATGAATTCCTGTTTTATTTCCAGCATGTCTTAATGTGGGAATTAATTTTAAATATATTCTTTGGAGTTAATTATTTTTATTTCATTATAAAAATGGAAGTGTTTGTGAATTTACTGTGAAGCAAACTTGGATGCTGTGAACCTTTTTTAAAAAATTGACTTGTCTAATAAAATCACAGATAATCATGTAGAGTAAAAATTCTAAAGAAGCAGGGTTAAAATATGGCGAGAAATGGGTTTAAGTCTGATTGTTCTGTGAATGGAGGGGGGCAATTAATATTTGTGGCAATTACTCATTCCAACTACCTTTTCTTAAGAATTTTTTATTCTATTCTTAGCCCCTCCCATCTCCAAACCCACCACCGCCTCCTTCTGGGGTATATTTTTATGCGATAGAACAAGCAACGGTAGCATCCTTTGCCAGAAAGTTACTATACCCCACGTTCGTAACTTTAAAGGCTTTTGGTTTAGTAGAGTTAAGTGTATGCATTCACAATGTATGTAAATAAAAGCTTTATAATATAATATGTCTCTATGATAGCATTTTAAATCATCTGAAGTTTGAAGATGAAGAATTTTAATAATCACTATTCAACTTTCAGGGTTACCTGATTAGCTGCGTTTGGAACTGCTACCGATACATCAGTGGAAGAAACTCCTCTGACGTCCTGGTTTATGTTACCAGCAATGACACTACGGTAGGTGTGATACCACTTAACATGGAAATCTCCACACCCCTCTACTGTATGGTGGCCTTTGAATGTTTCTGGTGTTTGCTACATTGGTTCGACATAGACTTAGAATTTTTATTGTTGTTGAAACCTACTTATGAGCTACTTAGTCCTCAAAGGAGTCATAGTTGAATGAAATGGGTTTCATTTTCCTTACAGGATATCAAAATCTAGATGATCCAATTTCTTGTTTATTTCTTAAAAATATTGCAGAGGATAATGTATGTATCTTACCCATATTTATGTATTTTAAACCTTAATTATTAAACCATGGTGTACCAGTCTAGATATCAATCCTGCATATTATGACAGCATTGCTTTCTGTATGTGAAATTAAACCTAGTAATGTGATTTTATAGGTAGATAAATAAGAGCGATGGAGGCTACTATGTCTTTAAACCTTGCCCTGCTTATGAAAACCTTAGTAAAATAATTTAGGTGATCTCTGGTCTGCTACTAGTTGTTCATGCTTAAAAATTTTTAGTCTACCAAATGTGATTTTGGAAAATGTGCTTTCAATGGAAGGGTCCTTGGAATTGTTTGTACTTGATGTTAATTATCTTGAAACTGCCTGGATTATGGTAAAGATAAAAGTATAAGTCCTCTTGGTATTAAACTGCATGTATCTCATCACCTTTATATTCAACACAATGTCTAAAGTGGTGCTCTTTAGGAGTAAGTGCTTCATGAGCAGTTACTGAAGTGGATGGAGATGGATGACAGGAACATATGAGAGGGGTCGAAATGGATAGGACTGGACAGGATAGGATGGATAGGATAAATATGAATGTTAAGTCATGTCTAAGCTAGAACAGAGTTAGAGTTAAAAAAAAATTTTTTTCTGATGACTTTTTCACTGTGTGACTTTACTGAAATAATTTAACTTGCCTCTGACTTTACTTTCCTGTGTATATAAAATGGGAATAAAACAATTTCATACTTTATTATGGATGCAACCTGGTATTAGTAAGAACTATTTAGGATTTCTGAGAGAAAGTATGTTACGAATAGTTTTCCTAAGTGCTCACCAAACATTTGTTGAATTGATAAAAAGTGCATAAACTGTGTTTCCAGATTAGACTCCAGCATGATCAGGTGCACAAAAACCAGCCCATCCAGGTGCTGAGGAGGCACTTTTTTGGGGTCTGCAGAATCCTATGCACTGATTACAGTAAACATGTGTTTTAATTAACTCTTTAAAGGATTATTCTTGGGTCAGTGAGTCTCTTTAGAGTCTGTTCAAAACTTGTAATTTTGATAAAATTACTGGTTTAAAGAATTTTTCCTTCCTTCTCTTTGAGTTGTTGGATATTTTGTTGCCTGTAAGTTTCTTTTCTCCTTTGTTTCATTGTTGTTTTTTAATACAAACAAGCAAAAAATTCAGAGCACAATTATTGTCTTGCCGAACTAACAAAAAAGCTAAACTGAGTTTGAGGAAAATAAAATTGCTAAAACAGGCTAAGTGTATCAGAACCTCATCCTAAATATCATGGAGATTAGGGCTCATAAAGCTACCATCTTTTAGGAAAAGTGTCTCAGGGAAGATAATGCCCATATTGCATCAGTTTGATTTGATATACTTTTGGTCGTTGTGTTTTCAGTGCTTTTTAAAGGGTTGTGGGCATTTTTAAATAAAAGCAAGATGGAAGGGCTAAAAAGAGATACATGTTGTATAGCAATACCACAAATTAGAGGATACTCTGAAATTTGTAGAGAATTTAAGAGCCATGAGTAAGTACCTAAAGTGCATCCTACTAGCTTTTTAGAGAAAGGTCTTATTTTTCCCCTTTGAAATATTCAAAATAGGTATGGAATATAAAGTTTTATTTAGACATACTTATAAAAATTGTCAAAATAGTTGTTCTTTTCAACTGGACATCCTTGACTCTTCTCATGTTAGGCTTCTTTTCTTCAGAAAGGCTTCCAGCTGGGCAGTGGTTGATAGTAACCAGAGTTTGAGGCCACGGACTAGTGCCCAGCTGTAATTGTTGCATTGACATAAGGTGCTGGAGAATTGCCCGTTGCTGGTCATTCTATCTAAACTTGTTGTTCTAGGCTCATCTTGTAAATTTCTTGCCCTAGACCTAGAATCAGCCGTTTCTTCAAGAAGCCCTGCTTCCTTTTTTGTGGGAAATGATATTTTGAGACCATAATCTGGATTTCCAGGGTTCGAGAACAGATTTCTTTTAAGCAGGTCTTTGCATCTTTAAATATTGTTTTGACTAAAACTAATGGAGTTAATGTTCTGATGTTGGCGTTCTAACTTAAGAAAATCAAATGTCCCTTAGCCTCATTCTGAGTCCCTCCGTAGGGGTTGGGATGATGTAGTTTTGTCATTTGTCCTGACCCCCATAACTATGTAAAGAACCTCGTAGGGTGTAATAGTGTATGTTTCTTTTTTGTGCCTCTTTATTGGGAGTCCACACTGACATAATGACATGTTGTACCTTTCACTTCCTGTCAAATATTAGGCCAGATGGTTTTTCTCCCAGACTGAATAGTACCAGGTTCACCTCTGTGGAAAGATACTGGGGCTCTTACTGGTAGAAAATAAATGTGTGTGTGTTTTCCCTTTCTCTTAAACAATACACATATTATTAGCCAGATTTGTACTTTCCCAAATTCTGCTGAGGGG